AAATTTTATCTTGCTTATAAATACTAAATAGTTACTTCATGAAAATTTGGTGTTCTACAGTATACACAAATTTGTTATTCGGATATAACAAATTATGGATATAGAGGAACTTATTCACAGGTCCAAAGGACTTTGCTTAAGTATAACCAAGTTTTACTGTACTATGAACATGATGAAAGTAATTCTCAACTTTGCTATTTGTTCTTCACAGATCGGTGTATTAGATGTTGATATTTGTGGCCCTTCTTTACCCAAAATCTTTGGAGTAGAGGGAGAACAGGTAAGGAAATTCCGCAGAAGTGAAATGCTTTGTTATAGAACTAGACATGTCAGAAATATTTCATTTTCATTTGTGAAATACTGTCATTTGTCCACTGAATAAAATTGATATTTTCACAAGTGTCATTTTCACACTGTGAAGATAACAAGAGAAATTTTTCACTATGTGAAAAATAATTATAACTATAACTACATGTACTTCATTTTTAAATGAATTTTTATCATAATGCCAAATTACAATTAATTAAATTTGTCGAATTGTTCAAATTTATAAAGTTCTTTATCTTTTGCATTAGTCTTATGGTCCTGTATTCACAGCACATTGTAATAATGTAACAGACAGAAAATTCAATGTTGAGGATCAATATTCAATTTTCATTAATTGGATATGGAATTTATTTCACCCATAAGACTGGATTTTGCTCTGCACTTGTGAAAATATTTTTTAAAAACCTGTCCCACTTGTGAACTAAATTCCATATCCAACTACTATAAACATTGAATATCCTCTAATTGGCCATATAAAGCCGGATATTGTACAATTAAACATTACTTGCTTTGTGTGGTACAGATTGTATTTGATACTCAAAAGGATCACAAATATAAAGGCACATAAATTACACTCTTAATTCAAACTGTGTTCTGTTCAATTGAACAAATACTAGTACATTTTTTTTTCACATCAAATGTGTTTTGTACAGTAATGCAATTAGTTTCACTTTTATACAATTATGCTGTATTTTATAGGTACATCAGAGTGGATCTGGCTGGTCTCCAGTGGTATGTATACCCATAATTGTTATTCAATAAAAAAAAAAGTAACTTTATTTCAAAAAGATCTCTTTTATTCACTTGTTCTATCATGATCACAGGCAATTTCTACCTAATTTCTACCTAGTCTTCAATTAGCTGGAACATAATCGTGATACAGTGTGATGAATTGATCCAACATCTATGTAGATCATTGGCATGAATTAACCAATACTTCGGTACCCAAGGGCGTCTTTAGTTCAGCCTCATATATATTTCATTGTAAGTTATTGGACGTGATGAGCCGCTGAAACTTTTTATCAGTCAGTCTATCTCTGTATCAAAGACTAATGGATGGCAATATTTAATAGTGTTTACATATTCCCAGAGAAGGGCATATAAGTATTTGTTGAAATATGATGATATTGATGTAGCTGGACAGCCCCCATTGTTGTATTGACAATGAATTTAATGCACAGTGTATTCCGTTCCGATCCCCAACATTAATATGCAGAAAGTTTGTTACATAGCAACACCTGAACATTTTAATGTTTTCTATAATATTGATTTAAGATTAAGATAATAGAAGGTTATTGCAGATATTGCAGAATATTAAAATGTCAATGATGCATTTATACTCTAAAGTGACAATTTCAAGAGAGGCAAAAAAAAAACAACCAACAAATGTAAGCAAAGTGCAAAAACATGCCAACCATAACAACAGTTGCCATTTCAGAGATTGGATCAGATCATAGTGATGGGTTTGAAGGGGGAAAAAATAATAGAGATTAAAGGGCAGGTTGATCGATTTTTTTTTCTTCAGTATTTTAGAAAAGCTGCACATGAATGCTTTCATGAAGTCATTACTCTAATGTGTTAATAAAGTTTGAAAGCATATATGTGAAAATTTACATTGACTAGACTTTAAAGGCATTGTGTAGGCTATAAGAAAGTAAGACTTAAATAGAAAATGAACCTTTTTGTAAGTCACTGAAATGTGAACATTTCTTCGATTTTCACGACAAAATTCTAATGAGCCTGGTGTTAACACACATGAAAGTTCATGAATCATTCATATTTCCTGTAACTGTTTGAACATGAATTAATTATAGACAGGTCTAAATGCTGTTTGCATTCCTGCAAAGTTGATTGTTTTGTGCAATACAGTTTAGTCTCCCTACACTTAGAGATGCCCAAGGAGTAACAAAAATAATAGTTTTATATTGACTATAAAACTTTTCTATAAAAAATTTTCCGTATGAATTTTCATAAGATAATGTCATGTCATAAACTTTTAAGGGTGTGCACAAAATTCTCCACCCATTTATAAATATCTTTTAGCAAAGCTCACTTGATAAAAAAGAAAGAAATTGAATATCTAGTTTATGTACTTTGATCTTAATTTATAGAGGTTAGTTATAAGATGTTCAAAGTATTTCATTTCTCTGAGAGTGGTTGATGACAGAATTGTATACAGCTTTGTTTTTGTTACAGTTTCAAAACAGTAAACTTAACACTATAGTGAAAATGTGATAAATTATGAAAATAAAATTTTAAAAAAATCATATTGAAATCAAATCAGAAGGAAATACTTAAAGTATAAGTTAAAATAATGATGATCGAGCTAAATTAAAGAAGTTTTTTGATAGAACAAGTAGGATGACATCTAGTCTGTTTCAGTGTGTTTAATAAACCTTTGGTGTGTTGACCCTCTATTTCAGTATGTTGGTTACAGTCTATTTCAGTATGTTGATTACAATCTATTTCAGTATGTTATGACAATTATCTATTTCAGTATGTTGATGACAATCTTTTTTAATGTGTTGATTTGCAGTCTTTTTCAGTATGTTATGACAATTATCTATTTCAGTATGTTAATTACAATCTATTTCAGTATGTCTACTGCAGTATGTTGATGACAATGACTCTATTTCAGTATGTTGATGACAACTTGTCTCTGATGTCGGTGGCATTTTTGCTGTCTAAGGCAGATGAAGCAGTTATCTGGAGGGGTCCAAAAAAGAATGGTACCAATTGTTATAATACCTTAACTCAAATGAGATAAATCATTTGGAATATTATTATTTTAGACTTGTATTAATAAATAGTTTGATAAATCCTCTTATGGGATTCGTTGTTAAAAAAAATGCACTGTTTTGAAATCCATAATATTGTTAAGTTATTATTTAATTAAAAAAAGAATTGATGAATGTTGCCATTGATTAATAAGCTCATCATCTCATTTCTAGGTTTGATAAAGCAGTTTCTACGGGATGTAGACTGGGGAGATATAGATTTTCTGTTGATTGACACCCCTCCTGGGACCTCTGATGAACATCTGTCTGTGGCCCAGTACCTCAAAGAGAGTGATGTGGATGGTGCCATAGTTATAACAACACCTCAGGTTTGTCGGCCTAATTCTGAGAGAATAATGTATTTGATTCTTGAGGCATGGGGGGGGGGGGGGGGAGCACTTTATCTACCTTTTTATACAATGTTATTGAACTTCCAAAATATGGTCCAGTAATATGTTTAATGGGGTTATATATAGGAATTTTTTATTATTTCTAATTTTACAATTTCTTTTTTTTCCAGGAAGTTGCTCTTTTAGATGTTCGTAAAGAAATTACTTTCTGTCGGAAGGTAGATCTGCCCATCATTGGAGTGGTGGAGAATATGAGCAGTTTTGTCTGTCCTAAATGTAAAGTGAGTTGACACTAAGTTTTTAGTGGTACCTTATTCAGAAGTATATTACACAATCAATGTCTTTAAGACCCCTTTCAAAATTAGTTGAGATTGTAAAATGTTTTATCTGTAAACAAGAGTTCAGCAGTTACCTTCCCTGATTTGAGATTTAAAATTCAGATGATTAAGAATTTGGTTTCCCTATCCAGGTTTCAACACAGATATTCCCAGCAACCACGGGGGGAGGACAGAAGATGGCTGAGGACATGAATGTACCATTTCTAGGTTCTCTCCCACTAGATCCCAGAATAGGTAAACTTCAATCAAGATGGTTGTATAATTGATAAAAGCAGTATCAGTAAATATGTGACAATAACTGATTTTCTGGAGATTAATGTTGTCCGAGTTGCTGTATTACCAACATCACACCACACTCTTTGCAGAAACATTTTGTGACATTGTTGAGCATAGATATTGATAAAATTATCAAATGGGAGCATAGATATTGATAAAATTATCAAATGGAGCATTGGTAACAAGTATTTGTACAAGGTAGATAAGAAACTATTATTCAGGACAACTTGTATTCATGATATGTCAGTCTGAAATCAATCGGCCACTTTTAATTTTTGTGACTGAGAGAATATTTTACATAAATACACAACTGAAAAAAAGATTCATGACAATATATATTTGCTAGTAAAAGATTATTTACCGGTAGGTCATGAAACTCACAGATATTTTTCTCATGCTAAAACATGTACATGTAGAAGTTGGTTTACAGCATACTTGTATATAATGTTGATGTATATAATAAGAATGAACTGTGACTTTTTAAAGTTTTTTGATATTCAGGTAAATGCTGTGATACAGGGAAGTCCTTCCTTACTGAAGTTCCTGACTCACCAGCAACAAGAGCTTACAAAGAAATCATGTCAAGTAAGTTAGAAATGCACACATTGCCATGCATCTGAAGAGATCTAAATTTTCTTCAGTTACTTAAAAACTGTCAATTGTGGGATTCTTTTTTTGTGGTTGTTGTCCTGCAGTAGTTCCAATACATGTAACTGAACAACTTAAATATGCCAATATGAAGTTGCTTGTCTGGATTAAAGGGAGATAATGATGAATTCCATTGTGCATTTCAGAAATTGTTGAACACTGTGAGAAGCGGAATGAAAGCAAAGAAACAGAAACGGGAGAAATGAACAAGTAACAGATATGATGAACTGTCTTTTGTGCCATGTGTTTTCGAGTGCTTATACACTTTTATAAAAATACAACAC